ATCGTTGGGCAGATATGGGGAATGAAGGCTGGGCATACAAGGACATTCTCAAATACTTTAAAAAATTGGAAACAATGAATATCCCGAAGTTAAAGTCGGATAATACTTATCATGGTACTGACGGACCAGTTCATATCACTTCTCCGTTATATCAAACACCATTAGCGGAGATCTTTCTAAAAGCAGGTAAAGAACTGCAATATCCAATAGTAGCTGATTATAATGGAAAAAACATGATAGGATTCTCATATCCGCAAACTACGATTATGAATGGCACTCGCATGAGTAGCAACAGAGCATATTTGCATCCCATACGCGATCGCGACAATCTTCATATCACTCTCCAAAGCACAGTGACTAAAATTTTGATGGATACCAAAACGAAGCGCGCAATCGGCGTAGAATTTATCAAAAATAATAAGATTATCCGCGTGTTTGCGAGCAAAGAAGTGATTCTGTGTGCGGGTGCCATCGGATCACCGCAATTGTTAATGTTGTCTGGTATTGGACCAAAGGAACATCTTACTAAACTAAACATTAAGGTCCTTCAAAATGCGCCGGTCGGCGAGAATCTCATGGACCATCCAGTCTTCTTAGGATTGTATTGGACAATAAATGCATCGATAAGTTTATCATCATCCGAATTGTTCAATCCTATTAATCCGTACATGATGGAATTTTTAACAAATCGAACAGGACCATGGACGAGTCCGGGATTAGTCGAGACCCTCGCTTTTATCAATACAAAACAGCCACATGAACACAGCGGTTTACCGGACTTGGAATTTATATTTACTGGTATTCAACCAATAAATCTTTTAATGAGGGATTTTAAAGATTCTCCATCTCTATGGATCAAATATGGTGATCGCCATGGCTGGTCAGCTATACCAATATTGTTGAAACCAAAAAGTCGTGGTAGAATAATGTTATTAGCTAATGACGTCAATGTTAAACCAGCTATCATACCAAATTATTTCGACGATCCAGACGATGTCAAAACGATGATCGCCGGTATTAGAACTGCATTAAGAATTGGTCAAACAAAGACGATGCAGGCGTTCGATTCTCAATTGTTAAACATTACTTATATGGAATGTGACTACGAGTATGATTCTGATGCTTATTGGGAATGCATGATAAGAATACGCTCTTCCACAACCTTTCACGCTTCTGGCACTTGTAAAATGGGACCTCGTGGTGACCCAACTGCTGTCGTTGATCCCAAATTAAAGGTTTGCTTGACAAAATGCATTACAGTATTCATATACAGGGTGTCTCAAAACTCGTGGATTTCGTTTTAAGTGCGGATTCTTTAGAATATTCTAAGACGAAAATCCTAATACGAAAATGTCAAAACTATAATAGTTTTTAAATTAGTAGCGATTAAAGTAGGCTAATCACAGCTGAAATTTCGCGCGCTCAGGCATGATGGTATGACAAATGCTAGAGGTGCTACGAGGACTCTCTTAACAACACCGAGATTATCATTATTTTTTTTAAGAAAATACTTTTTCTTTTATACGAAATCTATTTGTACACTAAATAATTAATTAATATTGGAAAATATTAAAGAAATACAATTACGATCGATATTACGTTAACTGTCAAAATGAATTTATAACCATATGTTCATTTACCTCGTATGGTGAATATTTTTATAATACCGATAGAAAAACCATTTTTAATATGAAAAAACTGAATATGTTAATACAATAAGACTAAAATTTGTCAAAATAACCTATTTAATCCAAATACGTTTATACCAAATTAACGGTAATTATCATTAATTAAAAATATAGGAATAAGAATATCAGAAAAGAAACTTTTTTATTCAATTTTTCTTTAAAAAAATATGTTTATAGTGAGCAAATCCAAAATTGCGAAGAATTACCGAAACCATTGCAACAGTAACACCGGACATGATTAGAAATGCAATAATGAGTCTTTCTCGACGCGCAAGATTATGCATCCAATGCAATGGTCATTTCGAACATCTTTTATAAGTATTTTTAATATTCAATATTTGTTAGTAACAATTAATAATGTTATAATTAAAAATTATAATGACTCTTTGATTAACAAATATTAAACAGATGATAAAGGCAGTTAAGAGTCCCACGCAGTTCTTGGTGCGTATATATTCTTGGTTTATTCCAATATTCGCAGCCGACAACCAAATAAGTAACACAAAAGGCGATATTAGTACAAGAAATGTTAATGTTTTATCCATTGTGACAATACGACTTAAGAAATGTTAAAGTTTTATCTATTGCGACAATACGATTTTGACTTGCTGCACGGGGATTCACGATACTTTCTCTCGGGAAATTGGAGGTAGACTCACCGATGTGGAGCATGAAAGCTTATAACTAATTTGCGCTGAAGATGGCTTGATGGAAGCCGAAACGTTCGCTAAGGATTTGATGTAAAGAATATTGGAATAAACCAAGAATATATACGCACCAAGAACTGCGTGGGACTCTTAACTGCCTTTATCATCTGTTTAATATTT